TACCATATGTCAGGAAAGGGTGTACCAACATAACAAAAAAAAAATGTTTGAAAAAGGTCTATTACTTAAGGAGTAGTTAACAAACAACAAAATCCGGATACTTTTTGAGTAGAAGGTAGTGCAATTTTATTAATCAAAATAATGTATTCATTTCATTTAATTAATTTAATGTATTCAAATTATAGAAAGCTTCAATATTGCAACTAAAAATAAATTTATGCTTTGGTTTCTTACAACCTTTTTATTTAATTAAAAAAAAATAAAATATATTTTGGCAAAATAGTGCCAAAAAATATCTTTGGACAGTGAGTATATCTAACAATTGGTTTTATAAAACCAATTTGTATCAATAACAAATATATTAATAATTCTAAAGCCATGGAGAGATTTAAAACAAAAAATTGTGTTGAACGTAGTCATATATCTTGCATTAAATCCACACATATAAACCTCTGGAGCATATCATATACCATATAACATATACCATTTATGTTCATTTGCTGTAGGTCCTTCCATATTCCCGAATGAGATGGGACTTAAAACAAAAAATTGTGAGAAGCGTACTCATATGTCTTGCATTAAATCCACATATATAAACCTCTGGAGCATATTATATACCATATAACATATACCATTCATATTGATTTGCTGTAGGTCCTTCCATATTCCCGAATAAGATGGGACTTAAATAAAAAATTGTGAGGAGCGTACTCATATGTCTTGTATTAAATCCACACATACAAACCTCTGGAGCATATCATATACCATATAACATATACCATTTATGTTCATTTGCTGTAGGTCCTTCCATATTCCCGAATGAGATGGGACTTAAAACAAAAAATTGTGAGAAGCGTACTCATATGTCTTGCATTAAATCCACATATATAAACCTCTGGAGCATATTATATACCATATAACATATACCATTCATATTGATTTGCTGTAGGTCCTTCCATATTCCCGAATAAGATGGGACTTAAATAAAAAATTGTGAGGAGCGTACTCATATGTCTTGTATTAAATCCACACATACAAACCTCTGGAGCATATCATATACCATATAACACATGCCATTCATGTTGATTTGCTGTAGGTTCTTCCATATTCCCGAATGAGATGGGATTTAAAACAAAAAATTGTAATGAGCGTACTCATATGTCTTGTATTAAATCCACACATATTAACCTCAGGAGCATATCATATACCATATGCCATTCATGTTGATTTGCTGTAGGTCCTTCCATAGTTCCGAAGTAATATGGGCTTGTAATTTTAAATTCGATTATGGTCCTAAACAATAAATATTATAACATTTTGCAAATAAATAAGTTGCAGTATGATTAAATGCATACTTGAATTGCCCTTGGTTGGTCCACTATATATTAGACATCATAGCCTCGTCATGGCTTAAGTGACGATGTTTAAATAGCTCAGATGCCATCAAAGTACTTATATGTAAAGGAACATATTGTTTACTTCCGGAAAAATGTTGTTTCCAAATAATCACACTTTATAGCAGTACCAACTGAAATATTAATCAAGCATTAAACGATTGGGTGTCTGTTAAAATGGCACTATGATGAAAGTTAAAGTTACTTACCACAGACCTGCAGCATGTTGTGGATGATGGTTCAAAAAATTCGTAAGCCAAATGTTCAGATGTTGATCCTTCAACTCATTACCTTAAGATTCTGCTGAAAGTCAAATAACACCAAATGAGAGATCCGATATTCAGTCATTGTTGCAAAAGGTGCATTGCAAGCTTTTGAAAACACAATGCTAGGTGTCTTTATTCATAGACGGGAAACAAATTGAAATCATGTTTAAAATATTTGAACTACAGTAAAAGTGAAGAAAGGCTTTACCATTTTACTTATTGTAACAATCCTCTTAAATGTTTACATTTTCTTTTTTTTTGAAAGGAACGACACACATATACTATAAAAAAAAATAGATGAAAAATTAAGATATGTATAAGTCATAATTTTAAGTTTTAGTACGAAAAATTATCAAGAATATTTATAAGACACATTAAAAATAAACACCCACCAGGTGTATGTTGCTAAGTCATCAAAAATTAAAAAAAAAAATATTGTGACACGGATCATACTATTTGGGTATTGATGACTGTGGCTGTCATAAAAATGTGACAGGAACATTGAAATAGAATAGAATTTACATAAAAGTATAAATATGTAAAATATAGAAGTAAATAATTACAGACATAAGCTTACCTTGCGGTTAGTTTCGCATGTCCAACTTATCATGAGACATATGTTTCAATGTCTTGACCCACCCTCTACTCCCTGTCGTTCTCTAAACAAAACAATATAAATTAAGGACACACATTAAAAAACTCAGTTCATACTCTTTTTTTAATGTAAATTATGCGGGAGGCCTCCGTTATTGATTGTTTGAGCCATCTGAAGTATAATCGGTTGTGGAATGTATCCGTGGTTATGAACCACGGTGGCCGCTGGGAAGTGGTTGAGACGCAAAAATAAATCAATATCTAGCTGCCGGCATCTTATGCTCTGAATTAGCTGGGGAACATGCATGCTTCTTTCAAAAATGCTAACCTCACGCAGCTCCGGCTCGGCAGCATGCGATATTATTATCATAAGGTAGTTGCTGATATTTTGCGATGGTAACAATGCACGACCAAAATTGCCATTGTAGAAAACGCTTATTGCATCATGCAGAGGTATATGAAAGGCTCTATCGGGGTCAGATGGATCCATTGCGCCAATTATGACTAACTAACTTTTGTCTTGATTTTTCAAAAAAGCACGATTAGTAAAAAAAACAAACCAAAAATTTTGATTTTTGAAAAATTTTTCGACAACAAATTTCGAAACATACAGAAACAATTTTTTTTATAAAGAATTACATTGGGGTATACCTTTTTTTCAAATTTTACTGTAAAATGTCAGAGAAGATATGATTTTAAGTTTATAAGCGAAGTTATATGACACAAAACTATTAATTTATATCTTTGCATTTCAGTCCAGTATTAATAATAGTTAACAGTGTAAATAAGGTCAACTAATAAAAAAAAATTAAAACTACATATCTCGATTCAGCGAGAAGTAGCTTATATAGGGATATAACGTACATCTATAGCAGTACATCTATAGTTATCAATTCTTTATATCCTGTTTAATAAAAGGCACTCATTTAGGTTCACCTACAATGGTTAACATTGCATATGAGAACACCCTTTTGACCTCATCATCTCCGATTTGGCTGACATTTTTTTTTATGAGCTTTTTAAATTTTTTTCCTAGGAGATTTGGGGTTTTGAAAATGTATTTCCGGTGTTGAGATTTCTAACAGCAGTAATGATTTGATTGTCAACGTTACGATTTTGTAAGACAGTAACTACATGTTTCAAGAGAATTCAATCGAAGGCTTTGGTAAGGTCGACGAAACATAGGTACGCTGTCATGTTGTATTCAATAGCTTTTACAATTATTTGTCGAAGTATGAATATAGCGTTAAAATTCGATCTATTCTTTCTGAAGCTTTGCTGTTCCTCAGATATGCCAGTGTTTGCCATGGTATTAGATAGTATTTTTGTAAATAGTCTTAGGATTGCGCTTAATAGTACTATGCCTCTGTAGTTGTCCGGAAGGTTCCCATCGCCTTTTTTAAAAATGTGTATTGTGGTGTTTGAGTACTATTTTATTGATGAAGACTGAAAGCTTAGCGTATAGCGTATCACCTCGATATTTCAGCACTTCGTTGTTAATATAGTCTAGGCTTGGCGATTTCCTATTTTTGAGCTTCGCTGCATTAGTCTTGATATCATGGAAGGAAATTATATCTTGTGAGTATGCATCAAGACAAGAAGGGTTTAATAAACACTCAACTAGTGATGTCCTACTATCGTCAACATGGTCATTTTCATATAGCTGGGTGATGTGGTTCTCCCATTCTATAATAGATATGCTGGTTAAACTAACGTGATCATATCTCACTACTTCCTAGGTGTTGTAGGTTATTTCACCGTGCCCCTGTGTATTGTAGATAAGATTTTCATTTTTCTTTCGCCAATTCTTTTACTTCATGGCAAAACCACGGCTTGTACGATGTTCTTTTGGCGTTATTGTTCGGTTTTAACATTAAAAGTCTTTTAAAAGCCATTCTTAATTGAATAAAATTTTATTTATATAAAAAAATTCTTTCTAAGTTCTAACTGCTCTTTCTTTAAATTATTTTTGTGAAGTCTTTGACGTCATTCGTTGGTGACGGTATACGGTTTGCGTATACTGTCACAACTGTATAAAAACAATGCCATTTCATCTGTCGTTTAAAAATGGCACCCATGAAAACTACAACGTGACTCTCAGAATTGAAAGAAATTTGACTTTACCTTAAATTACAAGGTAGGATAAGCACGCATTATAAGCTGTTTCTTCACTGGTGCCGCTAGTGATTTCCATCACTTCTACATTCCAAGGCTATGACATTTCGCACTAAGTTGCGTTATTCCACTACTTGGGAGCTGAAATAAAAGTATGAAGCTAGTCTAGGCAACATCTACACACATAGATGTGACCTATTGTTCAACGACAAACATTAAGGCATGTTACAGTGCAAAGCTCAAAGGAGCAAATTGATAGGAAATCCAACCAATTGGAAGGAATTTACAATTTTGTCAATTTGCTTTAAGTTAAGTTGAAGACAAAATTGATACGTTCAAATTCGATGTTGTGAACTTGTTATTTGCTGCGAAATATGACATCTTGAAGGGACGCAAAAGCTGAAGGATGAAATGAGGATTTGTATTTAATATTATCTATTATAACTGACGCACTATAAGTAATAACAAAACAGATGAAAAAGGTGCATTCCATATTATTCATATTATAGAAAGGAGAAATGACAATAAAAATAAAAGCTGACTTAATATTCTATAAAAGTATAAGAGATTTTTTAATGTGTTTATGGTTACAAGTCTTTTTTTACTTAGTTGTCAATGTGACTTATCTTATTATTATGATATGATTTTCTTGAAGATATTCCTTCAAGAATCTTTATTTCCTTACTATAAAATACAATATGCTCTTTACATTTATTCCAAGTTTTGATGCTATACATGCTGAGATGAGTGTAGAAAAGATGAAACAAAGACAGCATTTTATTAAATAGTTTCAAGACAATTGTAACCCTTCTGTAACTTGTATATATATATAAATACGTAATAGTTGTTAACGGTCAGATCTAACTCACAGTACAGCTTATGCAAGATTTTAGCTCAGATTTTAGTCTGCTTATGTATATTCTAATATTATTATGTATATCAACATATCAACATATTTGTTTAATATTTATTTACATGACCCATGTTTCTTCCTTTATTTTTTGGAAAAATAACTATGTCCGTACAGTTAGTTATTGGATTATAATTGTAGGATAAATATTTCAATCGTATGTTTTAATGTTGATATAATTTTCCCAATTATTTTATTGAAATACTTATATATCTTTAAGTCGTTAGAAATTGTAGAAGTTTTATGAGACGGAAGTAATGATTTGAAAGATTTATAAATTTACGAGGGTCACTATTTATATTTTGAGCCTAATAATGAAAAAATCTTAACTTATCGTTGAAAATTGATTTTGTTTCTCAAAATATTCTCCTTTATAATTAATGCACTTTTGCATGCGTTCGAACTATTTGTCGTTGTCCACGCAACTTATTCTTGACGTTCGGGAACAAGAAGAAGTGATTGGGTGCCAAATCAGGACTGTAAAGCAGATCACCCATCAATTTGATTTTTTGAGTGGTCGAATAATCGGTTCTTAAACTAGATGTGTGAGCACTCGCATATCCTTGATGGAGATGGAAAATGATCCAACGATGCTCGGTTGTTTTCCGTATTTTTCGCAACACTCCCGATAAACAAATGGTTATTTACCATTAGGAATTGACCATTTTACATTCCTGTAATGGTACTCATATAGTTTCTACATGACCAGTTTTCTCGAAAAAACAAGTGACTATTTGCTTCAAAGCGCTTCGAGCACAAAAAACATTTGTTGGATATAGTTCATCTTGAAACACCTATATAGTTCACATCAATAGACTAATGTTTACGTTCTGGCTCATACGCATAAATCCATGATTCGTCATCTGTTACAATCTTATACGAGTATATGTTTTTCGAAGCATCGCCATTGTAGTTCTTGAGCATTTGTGTGCACTAGCACCAATCGACACGAGCATCCTTTTGAGATTTTGTCAAATGATGGGGAATGGGGTCCAACGAGAATAAACCTTTCTCATTGCTAAATGATTTATATACGCAGGTGAAAGTAATGCCTTGGGTTCCCACAATCTTACAGTACGAGTGTGTCGAATAAAGATCTTGCACTACTCGTATAAGTTTTTGTAAAGCATCAATGTTTTCTGGCACAACACCTGATTTTGGATGATCTTCAGACCTTCACGAATTTCGTCAGTGCGCGAACTGCGATCACGATTAAAATCCTTGTGTCAGCGCTGCACAGTAGTAAAGTATGGACATTTTTCTTCATTGCGAAATGTAAAAGTAAGTTGATCGATGCACATTTGTCTCGATGATCCATGTTTAAAGTCGTCAGTTGAAGCACGAACATTTTCTCGCGTTAATTTTATTTTTTCGCGAATACTCAATTTACAAATCACTGTAAATAATACAAATAACGCTCTTTCGTATGGAAACGTCAGATGGCACCTGATTTTAGCGTCAATTAGCGTCAAAATATAAACAGTGACATGTAATATATCGTATATAATATCTCTTTTTTTAATTTTCAACAACAAAATTTCATTAAATTTCATTGAAATTGTTTTATGAGTACTTAAAATAATACATTCTCTTAGTTTACCGCATATCGGTCGATTATATTTTTCAAGCATTATGTAAACTGATTACTTGTTAATGGAGATTGATTGCTGAAATAAATTTTTCCCTATTAGATTACTAAATGAAATGCACTTGATGACCCAAAACGAAACTAAGTTTCAAGACCTTAGAATCTAATATTTGTGAAGTTAGTTTAAATTTAATGTAAACACCGGCATTCCAATTAAAGTTGGTATCAATTTTGTGTCATCACACATATATTAACTAAATCGCTTGACCCGATAACCAAGATCCAATGAACAGAAAGGTTAAGCAACTGCCTACCCTAATCGTTGCCTACCCTAAACTCATTTGCCTAACACAGATACGGCAATGTAATTTGTTCTCAACGGCTTCAAATCACATAAAATTTTTCGCATATACACGCACATGCACACACACCAATGCGTATAAGTGTCATATCCTTGGCTGCCTTCATGGTGGTTTTCGACTTTTCGCAATAGAATGAATAGAATGGGCCATGCCCATTGATTTATTAGATTTGGTCAGAAACATGTTTGTACCGTACCGGTGTAGCTGTTATGGAATGCCATTAGAAGGACTGGTGCCCGTCTTTTGGAGGCTTTAGCTCGAAGGATTTCTGTGAAATATGCTCGGTACTCGTTCCCTTACTTAGCGAAAGCGGTACAAATTTGTAAAAGTATAAATCCACTTATTTTTATGTCTGTGAGTGTCTGAAGGCTGCAATGGCAGTATTCATGGCATATTAAATGCGATTGTTGGTTTTGTAATTGGTTGAACAAATTTCTATTACACAAACAAGCAAACAAGCAAACATTGTTGTGCTCATGTAAGTGTGACGTACACGTAAAACACACACTCATATAATATCACGCAAAGTAAATTGTCCTGTGGAATTTTTCAATTTCTTTGGCTTTGTCATAAACAAGGATTTGAATCTAGTTTTTTTTGCTGCTTGGCGTTATATTTTTGT